AAAGAGTGCCCTAATCCTGATGGGATGGAGAAGTAGAGAAGAAGGGATCACACAATGATCATACTTTCTTCTTGGAGCGCTTTCTCCCTCTCCCTCTGTCTTTTTCTTTCTGGTGAATATATGTACTCATTGGCAAAAAAAAATGATGGAGGACTCGCAGTTGGCGCAAAGGCTATGTCACTGGAATCCCATGTAGTTGATCGTGGTTTGAGTCCTGGACCCAGTGGCTGAAACTCATGCTGGGCATGTGTGTGTGCATGCCCAAGATCCCGAGAGGAGAATGAAGGAGAAGGTGTGGCCATACCCCCTCGGGGGTGATTTCTTGCTTTCTATCTCTCTGTCTCTTTCTGTCTCTGGCAAGCACATGCGCCCTATAGCAAAAACCTCTCCACAAAAAAAAAAAAGGAAAAAGGAAAAAAAGGATGGAAGAAAAAGAAATTAGCTAAGTTTTGATAGCTGGTGAAGCTATTGAAGATAGCCAAGGGCTCACTATATTAATTTCTCTACTTTTTTAAGTATTTGAAATTGTTCATAAGTGGAAAAAATGGGGACGAGGCTAGTATCAGCTGCCTTAAAAACCTGCTTGGGAGCACACCTGCATGGTACTGGCACAATGGTAGATAGTGAACAAAATGAAGGAGAGATTAAGTTGTAGGTGGTCTCCAATTTCACTTAGGAAACTGTCCTCTGAATTTCATAAATAGTTGTTATTTTCTTATTCTTTATCTCTGCAAACTTCAACAGGTTCGACTGTCTCATTTCCAAATTTAAATGCAGACAAAGTTTATGGTGCCCTGTGACAGAAATTTTGGTATCAAAATTTGTACATGTAAAAGAGCAGTGAGACTGATTGTTTACCCTGGATTTGTTGTCGGAGCTTTGTAGTCAGTTGTTCTACCTCATCAAGAGTCATCAAGTTCACTGAAACATGAAAATATATTGTCACCACAACAACACAGGAAAATAAACTGCCTACATTACTAATACAGTATTACAAAAATTCGTGCCTATCTGCCAACACAACATGAGGCAGTGCCCCAGGATTCAATCATTAACTTGCACAGTGTGGAAAAGTTTACAAATCCTGACCACAAGTCACAGTAAGAGGAGGAGGTCTGTTGGATTCTAACATCTCCTGTTACAATTTTTAAAAAGTTCCAGTCACTACCCATCAAGCTGATTTAGATTAAGTATTACACAGATGTGTAGTATGAAAATATACCATATTAAAGTACTGTGCGAAAGGAGTTTGAAAAATCACTTTATCTATCTAGTAGTTATACAACCTTAGGCAATTCACATGTAGAATCAAGATGTTGTAAACACCCAAGATCTCCTTTAATCCTCAAATTATTTAGTTTAAAGCCAGTTAACATTGCCCCTTAGCTTGAGTTTTTACAGAGATAGATACAGAAAAAATGAGTAATTTTTTTTTTCTAACTTTAAAATGGTGCATATATCACCTTTGGCCTTTAGTAAAATGTCAGATTTTTGCTTTTGAAATGCCACTCACAATCAATTTGACTAACAGGAATCAGCAATGTGGCAACGCCAATTAGCCAATAGCTGAAGCTGTACTTTCAAAAAAGTTGTAGTCTGGGAATTCCACTGAGTTTAATCATTTAAAAATGGCAAAACAAATGACAACTGCTACCCATCAATGCTTTAGGACACACAAAGAAGTATTCCTGAAAACATATCAAAGTTTTAAGAGATCTCATTTCTGTTAAGGAGAACCTGTCATTTAAATACTATGTTTATAAAGCCGAGGGCTCTACATCAAAATTCTCCACAAATCACACACATAGAAAATGTAAACAAATCACACAAACCACCTAAACCTTTGCTTTTCTCCCTATTTTACTTACATTCCTCTCGGCTGTAATGTGGATGCTGGGTCTGGACATTATCTTCTGGACTAGGTATTGTCTCTTCTTTTTTCTGTGGCTGGTTGTGACTATGAGGCCACAATACACTCTTATGACATAAAGTGGCACCTGAATCTTGTAACACAGCAAGTCCAAAGTCTGTATTTTCCCTCTGCTCCAAAATTCTGTGTGTACAGTTTGAGATGCCACCTGTACTTCCATCTATCCATTTGGCAGAATACTTCGGTACTTGAGAGTCAAACTGTGGGAGTAATGTTTTATCTGGCTTATGCCTGAAATTAAACAGGTGATGCTGGGGGGTTTTAGAACACTCAGAATCTGAATCCAGATCCTTATTTTGTGCATACTGTACAATCCAGTTTATCTTCTTACTCAAAATGGTTTTAACTTCTTCATAAGTACTTTTTGAGAGTTTAGATCGAGGACAATCCTGGTTTGCAATTAAATGGTATTTTTCAAAGCAGTCTTTATGGCCCCTTAATGAACTGGTGTGCAAGAGATTAGATTTTGGTACTCCTATAGAAGAAAAAAAGAAACAAAATAAAATTTTATGTTTTGTATAAATTACTTTAATATACAAATCTTAGTAGAACATGGACATGTGGCTCTAAATTAGAAGAAAAATGTGAAGAAATGTTGGCATTAATAATATATTGGGCCAGCTGGGTGGCATGACAGTTATAGCAGCTGGATCTGGATCCTACACAAGTTTTGTGAGGTTCAAATCCCAGACCCAGAGCCTTGAAAAGTGCACTGGGTATGTATGTGTGCATGCCCAAAATCCTGAGAGGAGAGTGGAAAAGCGACTGAAGTATGGTCATCTCCCTTGGAAGGATGCTTTCTCACATCCTCTCTCCGGCAAGTGCATGCACCCTATAGCAAGACTAAAAACAACAACACTATACACACACAAGCATGCCCACGCACACACACACATACATATAGTGGCTTAATAACTTCTGCTTCGATTTAATGACATGTTCACTAGCAAAGCCTTTCTCTGAACTTAATGATTCAACTTTAATCTTAGTCTAGAGACATGTTATTGAATATAATATATAAAATTACTACTGAACCCAGCAATTTACCTTTACAGTGCCTTGGCCTTTTTTATATTGTAATGCTTTCTTTACTAGTCCTCCTGAAGTGCATACATGCAAAAATTTTTATTATCAGGCTCCATAATAAAAATGTTGGAGCCAGCAGGTGACCTGGTGGTAAAGGGAGCTTTATAACATGAATGTGTACAAGTCTCAGACCAAGTGGCTTGAAAAACATACCAGGCATGTCTGAATACATGTCCAAAGTCCTGAAAGGAGGGAAAAATAAAGAAGGGACTGCAACATGACCAGTACTCAGGAAGGGTGCTTTCTCCCTCTCTTGTCTTCGGTGAACACACACGTCCTTTGGCAAATAAAAAAAGAAAAAGAAAAAGAAAAAAAAAAAAAAAACAAAAGTATTTTCCCTAACCAAAACCAAAATAGATTATATTCTTAAATAATTATGTTTTTACTAATGAAAGATAATCCAGATAAACTGCTTATTAAAATAATAATATTGGGACCAGCAGATGGCATAATGTTTAGCTGCTGGACTCCCATGCAGTCAACCACAGTTTGAGTCCCAAATTTGGCAGTTTAAAACTCATGCCAAGTGCATGTGTATATGTGCCCAAGATCCCAAGAGGAAAATGGAGGAGAAGGAACTGCAGGGTGGCCATTTCCCTAGGGGGTGATTTCTCACTTTCTCTCTCTCTCTCTCTGGTGAGTACACGCACCCTATAGCAATAATATCTCTCTAAAAAGAAATATATATATATATATTTAGTTTTGTTATTATCTGTTTAGATTATAATTAAGCCAAAAAAGCAGTTATCACAAGTTATAGATAAAATAACTGCATTATGAAAAATATACATTAGTAAAAACATTAAAAAGTTAAGGAATTGTTGGGACCAGCAGGGGGCATGGTGGTTAAGGTGCTGGACATTCCCACATGGCTGAACATGGTTTGAGTCCCGGACCTAGTGTTTTGCTTTCTCACTTTCTCTCTCTCTGTCTCTCTCTGGTCAAATTAAAATAAATAAATAAATGAAAAAAATAAGATAATTCTTTTTTAAAAAAAGGTTAAGGAACTGTTTAGATTCATTTTATGAAAATAAAAATGTTTCACATTTCCCTTTCTTTCTAAAATTTGATCAAGATAAGTTTATGTTCTGGAAGAAATATTTTTCACATAGCTATAAATTCCATTTGCCAAGACACAGTAGCCAATATAATTCTTCACTCACAAATATTCACTATGTAGCATACATAATTGAAATATTTATATTACATTTTTATATGCCCTAATTTCTAAGTAGAGCTTAAGTATGCCAACTCAGTTATTCTCAAAATGTACTTTCACATATATATTTTAAAATATAGAAAAATTCATACATTTTTGTAAGTAAAAGCCGTATTATTAAAGTCAAACAGTGGTGCTTTTAAACTGAAGCTCAATCAGGGATGTGAGGCTGAAAATTAATGTCTGCCAGAACTAACCAGTCTAAACCTGCTTAGCTTTGAAAACAGAGTAAGTGGAGAGACACTTAGGTGCTAGAGTTGAAAAAAATTTTAGCTGACTCATCAGAAAAAAACCACATTCTGTATTCATCCTTTGTTTTAAAAATCGAAATCATAACAATTTTTTTAAAATGAACTCCAAACTCTAGCTAATAGTAAGGTAATGAAATATTTGCACTTTTAATGGTATAAAATCGGTATAAAAATAATTAAAAGTATTACTGAATAATTTGTTCTAAAAGACAGAACATCAGCCAATGGTGGGACTTGCTGAGATAGCAGAAACAAGGGCGAAGTGGGCCACTGTTCCCCTCACAAATGACTGTAAGCTACGTAAGCACAACCCCAGAATGCTAATATTATGAGCATATGTGAACAACTGCTTTCATGACATAAACTAAAAAATCGTAGCCTTGTTTCTTCTACTGAATACAAAAACTGTTTAAACTTTAAATTTCATACACACTTTATCACTATGCTACCTGCACTGCAGTTGTGTGTACATATATATTTCAACCAATTGTTGTCTGATTAGGCAAAATTTCCAGCACCATTAGAATACTTAACTGCAAATTCTCAAAACTCTTTATAATAACAATGTATATTTGTACACGAGGTAAATTTTAAAAGTGGAGGAGGGGAGACTGATGGTGGTGCAGCCACTGTGAGGCTGAGACCCAGTTGGAATGTTCTGGATTTGTGTCTGGAGACCTCCCTGAATATACTGGGCATGCCCTGCCCATGATCTTGGGAGGAATCACAGCATTGAGACCCTATCATGTTGTCTCTCTCTCTCTCATGAAGAAAATAATAAACTTAAAAAAATTAAACAAAAAGGAAGTTCACAAATGTTTCTTATTAAAATAAAAACATCTGAAATTTTGTTATTATTTTAGATCATAAATAAGATAAATAAGGAGTTATCAAAGTTATAGATTGAATAAATCCATTATGCTGTTTGATTCCAATGTATCTAGGGATGACAAACAGAAACAACTTGAAAATAGCTTACTTTACTACTTCAGAACATTTAAAAAAAAATTCCATACTCTCCAAAAACTACTAGTTCTCAATTCCAAGAGATGGGTAACTAATCCCTCAAAACAATAAATGGTGCTACTCTCAGTCTACTGCTATAGTTCTAATATATGCAGCGATTAATTATATCTGAAAATAGTTAAGTTAAAAGTTTCACCTTTAGTGTCTACAAATGGAAATTCTTTGGCATATAAAAAAGGCTCTAAAGGGGCATGGTGGTTAAGGCACTGGACTCCCACCTGGCTGGCCACTGTTCAAGTTGCAGAACTGGTAGCTTGAAAATCATGCCAGGCAAGTGTTCATGTGTGCCCAAAATTTTAAGAGGAGCATGGAGGGGGAGGGACTGTGGTGTGACACGCCAACCCCCTTAGCGGGGTGATTTCTCACTTTCCCTCTCTCTGTCATTCTCTCCGGTAAGCACACATGCCCTATGGCAAAAAAACAAAAACAAAAGGCTCTACAGTAGGCTACAGAAAGTAATATTTATTTTTTTCTATTGTTTTATTTACATTTAATCACTGTACTTCTTTACAGTGTATAACATGTTTTTTTCCCCCAGTATGAATAAAGTGCATGTTAGTTAAGTCAAGGACATTACCATATACAACATCATCAGCAGGGAACTTTTCATTTTTGTGTCTCTTAAATGAGTAATTTATGTTTCCTGATCCTTTCCTTTCCCTCTTAACCTCATTACTTACCTCCTCTTACACCGTCTCTAGAATCTACAGTTGTCTTCCCTGCTATTATACCTTCCAATCTTTCAGTTTCTGCTATAGAGCACAGATATTTAATATATATTGAGTGGGCACATACAATGCCTGTCTTTCAGTTGGCTTGCTTTGCTTAGCATTAAATCTTCCATTTTCATCTACTTTGTATCATATGCCATGGTCTCATCATTTTTTAAGCTGAGTAGTATTCCATAGAGGATATGTGCCACTTTTTTTTTTTTAATCTACTAGTCTACTCTTAAAACATCTGGGTTGATCCCATGTACTAGCAATCGTAAATAATACTGCAATAAACATGGTTGTGCAAGTGTTTTCCAATCCTCTGGGTAGATACTATACTGGGATATATAGTAGTTCTATTTGTAGGTTCCTGATGGATCTCCATATTGTTGTCCACAGTGGTTGTACTAAATTTACATTCCCACCAACAGTGTAGGAGGGTTCCCTTTTCATTGCAGCCTCACCAGCACTTATCACTGTGTTTTTTCAATAGCCTTTGTGACTGGAGTTAAGTGGTATCTCACTGTGGTTTTGATTTGCATTTCCCTAATTAGAAGAGATGTTGAGCATGTTTTCATATGCTTTTTGGCCTTTTGCATGTCTTCCTTGAACAGTTATCTGTTCAGTTCATTTGTTCATCTTTTAATTGGATTTTTTTTTTTTTTTTTTAATGTGGGCAAGCTGCTTGAGTTCCCTGTATATTCTGGTTATCAGTCCCTAGGCATAGTTTGCAAATATATTCTCCCACTCTGAGGGGTTATCTCTTCAGTCTAATTATTGTTTCTTTTGCTGTGGAGGAGCTTTATAAGTATTAGCCTAATGTAGTACCATTTGGCTATTTTTGGGATAATTGCCTGTACTCAAGATTTACTGTTAAATTTTGTTGGTTAGCCACTGAATGGTGGCACAGTGGTAAAGTGTGATATTTCTCAAGACTGACCTACATGAGAAGGTTCAGGGTTCACACTCATGGAGACCTCCTTGAGTATGTGTGCCCATGATCTCGGACTGGCTAAGGCTGGGAGTGAGGGAGGGAATCATAGTGTGCAGACTCTGTTAGGGCTCGCTCTCACTCATGGAATAAATAGATAAAGGTTAAAAAATTTTGAAGATTTACTGATATTTATATAGAAATTTCAGATGCTATGTTAAAAAAGACCAGAAAGTAAGTTTATGAAAC